GTGGGCAGGGCAGGGGGTGCTGCCACAGACAGCAGGGAAGTGGGGTGGTGGGGCAGACTGGAGAGTCTCTGAGTGCCATCCTCTGTGTATCTGTTCTTGGTGTCACTCCCCTGTCTGTCCCAGCTATGACTCTGGGAAGGCAAGTGTGTCCTTCTCCACCAGATAAAAGCAATTGGCTCCCAATGTTGTTTGCTACCACATGGCCCCATGACACGCACCCTCCACTCAGTATTTTAAAGGGCAACATATATTCAGGGGCATCCCAGTGACCCAGGAGAAAACAACACGGCCTAAAGGTTCCCACTTCTGACCCTGATTCTGGAGCCACTGGAGTATTTCTCAGCCTCGCCAGGCCTCAGTTTTCTAATTTACTAAGAAAATCTCCCAGGTTTGTTGAGCAAGGTCTTGGGTGGCTGAGGCACACAGGACCAAGATGGGGTTGGGCTGGGTACAGGGCTCTCACCTGAGAGGCCACTGTCAGGTCAGGAGCTGCTTTCCTATCCCGACCTCCATGGCCTGGGAGGCCCCGGCTCAGACTTAAGCAATCAAGTTACTTTTTTTTTTTTTCTTTTTTTTGACAGGCAGATTTAGGCAGCAAGAGAGAGAGAAAGAGACAGAGAGAACGGTCTTCCTTTCCGTTGGTTCACTGGGTGGCCGCTACGCCTGGCGCGCTGCATTGATCCAAAGCCAGGAGCCAGGTGCTTCCTCCTGGTCTCCCATGCGGATGCAGGGCCCAAGCACTTGGGCCATCCTCCACTGCGCTCCTGGGCCACAGCAGAGAGCTGGACTGGAAGAGGGGCAACCGGGACAGAATCCAGTGCCCTGACCGGGACTAGAACCCGGTGTGCCGGCGCCGAGGCAGAGGATTAGCCAAGTGAGTCGCAGCGCCGGCTCAAGTTACTTTTTGGCAACTCAGTCAAGCTTGTCTACTTCAAATATGCTGATTTACATACTGCACCAATCATTCATGCTCCATCTTAAATTCTGGTGTATTAAAATACAAATGCAAATTATACAACAGGGATCAATTGATATGATTTTTTTTTTGATAGGCAGAGTGGACAGTGAGAGAGAGAGACAGAGAGAAAGGTCTTCCTTTTGCCATTGGTTCACCCTCCAATGGCCGCCGCGGCCAGCGCACTGCGCTGATCCGATGGCAGGAGCCAGGTACTTATCCTGGTCTCCCATGGGGTGCAGGGCCCAAGCACTTGGGCCATCCTCCACTGCACTCCCTGGCCACAGCAGAGAGCTGGCCTGGAAGAGGGGCAACCGGGACAGAATCCGGCGCCCCAACTGGGACTAGAACCCAGTGTGCCGGCGCCGCAAGGTGGAGGATTAGCCTAGTGAGCCGCGGCGCCGGCCAATTGATACGAATTTTTCCATGTGGGTAAAAAAAGAATTTCAGTTCCTAATTACAGTAAAACCTTAGTGGGGGTGGAAGAGCAGGGGTCTGGGCACGTGGGCTCAGCTAAGGTCAGGGAGTGTGGCAGCTGTATGGTGCGTCAGAGTGAACAAGCAAGCTGGCACTCTGAGAACCACTCTATTTTTTTTTTGGGGGGGGGCTGGCCCTGTGGCGTAGCAGGTAGCCTCCAGTGCCAGCATCCCAAATGGGCACTGGTTCATGTCCCAGTTGCTCCACTTCTGATCCAGCTCTCTGCTATGGCCTAGGAAAGCAGTGAAAGATGGCCCAAGTCCTTGGGCCCCTGAACTCGCATGAGAGACCTGGAAGAAGCTCCTGGCTCCTGGCTTCAGATCAGCACAGCTCTGGCCATTGCAGCCAACTGGGGAGTGAACCAGCGGATGGAAGACCTCTCTCTCTCTCTGCCTCTCCTCCTCTCTCTGTGTAACTCTGACTTTCAAATAAATAAATCTTTAAAAGAAAAGAAAAACACATAAGCAATATCTCTAAAAGAGACAGAGAGAAAGAGAGAGAGAGATCTCCCATTTGTTGGTTAACTTCCCTAATGCTTGTATCAGCCTCAGCTGGACCAGGACAAAGTCAGGAGCCAGGAGTTCAATCTGGGTCCCCTGCATGGTGGCAGGAACCCAGCTACTTGGATCATCAGCTGCTTTTCCTGGGTCTGCATTACCAGGAGGCTGGAATTGGGAGTGAAGCCAGGACTCAAACCCAGGCACTCCAATATGGGATGTGGGCGCCTCAAATGATGTCTTAACTCTGCACCAAATGCCCACCCCGGACCACATGCTCTCTGTGCAAGAGGAGACAAGGTCAAATTGTGCTTGACAGTCCGCTTATCTCAATCACAGCACACGTTCTAATGTGACAAGTACAGATTAAGCCTCCCAAATCCAAAAACCCAAAATGCTCCAAATTTAAACCTTTTGAGTGCCAAGATGATGCCACATGTGCAAAATTTCACGCGTGACCTTGTGTGGCAGGCACATTTAAAACTACCACATAAAATTAAGTAAATTATTTAATAAATCATAAAATTAAATGAAAATATTTCATAAAAATGAATTTTGTGTTGAGACTTGGCTTCCATCCTGATGGCCCATTTATGCAGAACATGCAAATATTTCAAACCGCCCCAAAAATCTAAGCTGCAAAGCACATCTGATCTCAGTAACTTCGGATAAGGCAAACTCGGCCTATTATGACTATTAGCATCTTGGAGAACACACATTTCCTCTGTCACTTCCTCCTCACTCCTGCCCCCACAGCCTAGCTGCCTGGTGACCACTGGTCAGGCAGAAGCCACACCTTCCAGCACCTTCTCTGACCCGTATGCCAATGTGCCCACATACAACACACTGTATGGAAAACTCAGGACTTTGATTGCATTTTGCATTTGCAAAAGGGTGAGAAGGGCCGGCGCCGCGGCTCAACAGGCTGATCCTCCACCTGCGGCGCCGGCACATCGGGTTCTAGTCCCGGTTAGGGCACCGGATTCTGTCCCGGTTGCCCCTCTTCCAGGCCAGCTCTCTGCTGTGGCCTGGGAGTGCAGTGGAGGATGGCCCAAGTGCTTGGGCCCTGCACCCCATGGGAGACCAGGAGAAGCACCTGGCTCCTGCCTTCGGATCAACGCGGTGCGCCGGCTGCAGCGCGCTGGTCATGGCGGGCCATTGGAGGGTGAACCAACGGCAAAGGAAGACCTTTCTCTCTGTCTCTCTCACTGTCCACTCTGCCTGTCAAAAAAAAAAAAAAAAAAAAAGGTGAGAAGGACAGTATCTGTAATTAAAAAAAATGTCTGATTTGCAAACTGTTGTTTCCTAAGAGCTATTTACTGTAAGACCCCTTATACCTGGTCACTGACTATGGTTCATCATGCAATCTAGACAGGTGTCCATTGTCCTCCAAACTACTGCTGTGTAAGTACCGACTCATCATCGCACTGGCTGGGGATGTTCTTACTGCTGCCCCAGCCTCCAGCCTTAGTGGCCAGATGCTTTGGTTCACAAAGTCCAGGGAGGAGGTGAGAGACTGGGATAGAGGAGGCAGAAGGCCTCAGCTTGCTGCCCAGGCTGCCTGCAGGGGCACCCACGTCCACCTTCGTAGGAACTGCGGACGGGGCCAGCGTTTCAGATGCAGGAAGACAGTTCCCGCTGTGGCTCCTACTGATGTGTGCTGGACGGAGCCATCCTGGGGAGCGGGAGCTCCCGAGGGGGCAGACACTCTGCTGCCCTCATTGACTGAGCCCAGGACACCGCCCTGTCCCGTGGGTCTGTCTTTCCCTCTGGGGTGGAGATGCTGTCAGCTGACCACTGCCCGCCCCATCCAACACCCTGCAAAACTCCAGCACGGAGCAACCACTGCTCTGTCCAGCAGCCCGAGGCTAATACCTTCCTAACAGGGTGGGAGGGAATGGGAGGAGACAGGAGAAACTGAGGAAGGAGAAAAGAACAGAGAAGGCAGCAGCTGAGGGTGCAAGGATGAACGCCAGAGGCACCGCGGCCTCGGTGAAGACCACAGCCCTAGGCAGAACCGGGATTGGGCAGCGTGGGGATGCGTGGTGGGAGCACTGAACGATAAGATCCCCGTCCGCATGGCCTGGCAGCCGCTCCCTTCAACACAACTCCACAGCAACCCGGGCTGGAGCCAGGTGCACAGGCAAGGTTGTGTGCACCATCCTACTTCTCACGAAAACAAAAAAACCAAACCACCACCTGCCCCTTTAGCTGAATGTTTTCATGAGTCCAGCTTATTTACTTACTACAGAGTAAACTCTGAGTGACTTCACCCAAATGTTTATCTCAGAAGAGAGAAGTTAGAGCCACATGGTTCCTACGTCTCTAAGTGTTTGTGACAGCTCATAAAGTGGCATTTCTTGGCGAGAAAGGTGCTACCCACAAGGCTCCCCAGCCTCGCCACGGGTGCTCAGGTCCAAAGGCAGACTTCTCGGTTTCTCTGGAGGGGAGGGGAAGATGGGAGGAGTCAAGGGGAGGTTAGGAAGCATCTCGGGGTCTCCTTCCCGGTCTCCTCCGGGTCCCCTGCCTGTGCCGCTGACCTTGCTTTTTGTGTGTCTTTGTGTCTCACCTTTGCATGGCTATAGTTCTCTCAAGCAATGCAAAGTTACCTCTCACCAAAATCAGACCAGATCAACTGCGATGAGAATGTCTTCATCTACCATGTGATGTATACAACCACAGAAGATTTTACTGTCTCCAAGGAAGATATGGTCCACGGATGCCCAAAACCACAGATTCTACACCTACCTATGATAAAGCCTACTGTATAAATCAGGCACAACAAAATACCAGCAACAACAACAAAACAATAAGTAATCCAAGTTATTCAAAGCTCATGATCTACTTCTTTCTGGAATCATCCATTTCCTATTTCCAAATTACTGTTTCCCGTGGGTCACCGGCCCTGCAGGTAAAGGGGCCACCCCTGGATTCCAGACCGAGTTCACGTTGCCTCTTTTTCCCTAGTACCTTCAAGTTTGAACAAACCGGAGCCTTCGTTTTCTTGGTTGCCAACCTCAATCCCCGACCCTGCACACGGGCAGGTGGCGTGGGTAACAGACAGTGCCTACCTTGCCCAGGCCCGGGGTGTCTTTCACCTTGGTCACAGCCCGCAGCAGACAGGGCGGGGCGGGGGGTGGGGCGGTCTGCAGAATCCCACTGAAGCTGGTGGCAAAGGGGGGCGGCTCAGACACGGCGGAGGCAGATGGGCGATGCTTCTTCTTTTTAGAAGACAGATTTAACTTCTGGGCAGCTCTGGAGGGGGAAAGGAAGAAAAGGTACAATCAGGGGAAAACTGTGGTACAATCAGATATGCCAGGGTTACCATACATTCTTTCTCTTAAGGAACCCCCGTCGTTACTGAGGTCTAAGAGTTCCTTCCCGCCTCCTCCTCCGCACCCTCCGTGGTCGCCCCCTTGCTACGAGAGGGTGAGCTTACCAAGCTACCGGTCATGCACAGGAGAGGGAAAAGGCCACAGCAATGCACGGCTCTGCATTCAGAGTTGAGCAAGAACTGTTTGTCACCCACCAATGCAACGCTTAAGCCTGACAGCCGGCCATCCCTGGGGACACACTGCCACTCCGTAACTTCTCTGGCATAAACCCACATGCAAGAGACCCATGAGTTCACATGAAAACCCAAACGCCTTATAGAATCCAACCCGGGCTGATTAGGAATCGTGCGGTGACCAATGAAGGCAGGCCATGCATCTGGCTGAGGAAGGCTAACTTGAGGCCGGGTGCTGTGGGGAAGGCGTACATCTACGTGGTTGTAGAAAGGAACACCAACTCCCGACAGAAGCTGCAGCCAGGGTGCCTGGTGCTGAGGCTCTGGGCTGTTCATGTGGACAGCGGGCTTTTGTGCAGGACAGCCTTTGTAAACACAGAATGCAGTTCCCAGGCAAGTGCAAAGGGTGGGGCGGTCAAGACAACAAAGATGGCAGAGACACGGTGCAGACGGGGGAAGGAGGGCATGGGGGAGGTTGCTGGCTGGTGATGTCACAGCTTCAGCATTCACAGTCCCTGTGTGACACCATCATCTTACTACACCACCGTCATCAGGATGCCATCATATTACAGAAGAGAGGAGAAAAACAAAGCAAGGGGCGGTGTGATGCAAACCCATTTTGCAGATGGCAAGGTCCTCATTTCCGGGTTGCCTCTTGGTGTTTTCACAGCACACTCTTGTTTGCAGAATTTCCGTTTGGTTATCCAAGGCTATGAACTATTTGAGCTGCTGCTTAAAGCCCAGGGACTACCTGACTCCGCTCTGCAGATCGAAACCTCATCATCTATCCAACGTCCTTCCCAAATCCCCAACGGGTCACAGGACAGGCAGGTCAGGAGGACAGCCTCGGCAGAGCTGACCTCATCCCTCTCCCCGTCTCACCTCGGGATCTGGAAGTGTGGAGTTTAACACTGTTTCGCTAAAAATATCAGCTACGAAACTGCCAATGCATAAACACAGCTATAAATGGCATCATCACTTCCAAGTTTAATTTTTCTTGGCTGGAAATCTATTTCACAAGAGGGAGACATGAGGAATACTCGCTCTTCGTGGAAAGAGAACCAAAAAGTCCCAGTACCGCGTGGCAAGCTCCGAGAACTCCACTGTCCCTCTGTACGGTCACAGGGAGCGGAGGGCACTAGCAGATTTCTACAAGGCTTTCCTTTTCCAGTCAGGGAAAAGAAAAAACTGGGAGGGTCTTTTTTTTTTTTTTTTTTTTCAATCTTTCATTCACTGTGTCATTGTCACGCGTCCTGACGCCTTCCCTCCACAATTAAGGGTGAAACAAAATTGTCCCGTGATTGCGCTGGGGCAATTGGCAGTTCCCACTTCTCTCTGTGGTTCTCTCCCTAAATGAACAGTGAGTGCCTGGTCCCGGGGCGTGTGTCAGTCACCGGCACACGGAGGCATCACTCCCTCTTCTTCTGACACCCGTGACACGTCTCTGCTTCATGTTGACAACATGCTGGTGACTGGCAGGTGACGCCTATCCATCCGTCTACACTCTGCGTTCTCTGTCCCATGGAAAAAGGGCCCAGCAGTAGTCCAATGGCCAGACAGACAGGAAAAGGAGCGACATTGAAGGGCAGCTTAGCAAGTTAGTGGCCTAGGGGCTTTTTCCTTTTCCTTATCTCTGCCACTCATGGCCAGTGCTCACCCTGCACACACCCTGCAGAGCCCAGCAAGGCTCCCGGAGATGGGGGACTATCCACGACACCCTTCAAGGCTGCTTTCCTCCTGCCCCCTCCCACCTCATCCCCGTTCCACCTCTACCAGCTCTGTTCCAACAGCACACACACAGGTTACTCTTTACTCCATCTTCAAAAAGAAAACGAAACATCCATCTCTGATCCTTCTTCCCGGGCCGGCTGTTCTGTTCCCTCACTCATCGCAGCAGCAAAGCTCACAGGAGGTGCCACCTGGACTCGCATCCTCACTTCCTCTCCTCCACTCCCCATCCTCTCATTGCAGTCAGGCCTCCGTGCCCCCCGACGCCTCTGAACCTGCTCATCTGGGTTACCATGGCCACTACGATTGCTAAAGGCCACGGGTGCCTCCCCATCCTGACCGGGGCCAGGGTGCTGCCCAGTCCTGACCGGGGCCAGGGTGCCGCCCCATCCTGACCAGCCAGAGCACTGGGCGTACCCCTCCCTCCCCCATGCTCTCCTCCCTGGTCACTTCCCTCCAGTCTCCTTCGCTGGCTCCTGTCTCTGGGCTGATCCCTTCTTCGTGGGGCTCAGGGCTCAGCCCTTGGTCCTCTTCGCTTCCACACTCCATTCCTGAGGGTGCTTTCCCCAGATCATGCTTTAGATAAAATCTCTACCCCTGGGACTCTTCAGTCCTTATGTCCAGCTAGGACCACCCTCTCTGAAACTCCTTATCTGTGTCCACCCGCCCCTTCAACAGTCTCACCTGGCTACCTAGCGGACATCTCAAACTTTTCCACCCGAAAGCTGCCATCCTGACGTCTTCCTGCAAAGCTGTTTGCAGCAGCCTCCCCTGTTTCAGGAAGCGGACAGTCCGTTCTTCCAGGACCCAGCCGTCTTTGACTTCTGGTCACGCTACGCATCATTCCATCAGGAGATTGTCTTGGCTTAATCTGAAAAGATGGATCTGCCTACCTCCTCTCACCACACTACGCTTACCCTCTTGGTCTGAGCCACCAGCCTCTCTTGTGCATTCCTGCCTTCGTCCCCTAACTTGTCTCCCTTCTTCTGTACCACTGTCCACCCCAGCGGCCTGATCGCTACACAGTGGGCAGAGTAATTTCAGAACTTAAGTCTGCTCTTACTCCCCACCTCACTCAAGACAAAGTACCTAGAATGGCCTAGGTGTCCTTAATGATATGTCCCTCCCACACCTTTATCTTGCAGGCCATTTTCTTTTTTTTCTTTTCCTTTAAAGATTTTATTTATTTATTTCCAAGGTAAAGTTATAGACAGAAAGAAGGAGAGACAGAGAGAAAGGTCTTCCACCCACTGGTTCACTACCCAAATGACCACAACAGCAAGAGCTGAGCTGATCCAAAGCCAGGAGCCAGGAGCTTCTTCCAGGTCTCCCACGTAGGTGCAGGGGCCCAAGTGCTTGGGCCATCTGCTGCTGCTTTCCCAGGTCACAGCAGAGAGGTGGATCAGAAAAGGAACAGAGGAGCCAGGACTTGAACAAGCACCCATGTGGGATGTTGGCACCACAAGCAGAGGCTTAGCCTACTATACCACAGCGCCAGCCCCAGGCCATTTTCTTACTACTCTCCTTGATTCGTCTGCTCCATCCATACCAGCCTTTAAATATTACTAGAACATTCCCACGACAAGACACAGGCTCTTGCCTTAAGCTGGAACACTGTACCCCAGACAGAGGTAGGCAGTGGCTCACTCCCTCACCCCCGTTCCACCTTTGCTCAGATGTTACTTTACCAGTGAACTGACTCTGCCCACCATGGTAGATAGTAGTTGCTAAACATGGCTGCAACAATGTATCTCCCACATGCTCTTCTTTTGAAAATAAAAACTTATTTTTATTTATTTTATCTACTTGAAAGGCAGAGTCAGAGAGGGAGAGGGAGAGAGAGGGAGAGGGGGAGGGGAGGCGGGGAGAGGGAGAGGGAGAGGGAGATCTTCCATTTACTAGTTTACCCCTCAAATACCCACAACAACCAGGACTGGGCCAGGCCAAAGCCGGGAGCACAGGAACTCTATCTGGGTCTCTGCCTATGCACCTGAGATACCCTCTGCCTCTAAGGACGCATTAGCAAGAAGCTGGATTGGAAGTGGAGAATCTTGGACTCGGATATGGCATGCAGGTGTCCCAAGCAGCAGCTTAACCCACTGCACCACAACACCCACTGCCTCCTGTGCTCTTCTTCGAACGTGACCTTGAGACACCACCATTGAGAGTTGGGGTCTTGGTTCCTTCTCCTTGAATCTGAGTGGAACTTTTAAAATTGCCTTGGCCAACAGAAAGGTGATGGAATGGAGGCTGTAGGACTTGTGAGCTTAGGTCACAAAGGCAACATGGCTTCTACCTGGCTCTCTCTAGGCAGGCTCTCTTGGAATCCAGCTCCCATGCTGTTGGGACAAATGGGTCATGTGGAGAAGAACTGAGCATCCCAGACAACAGGGGGCATGCGTGAGACTTTAGATGGTTCTGGACGCCATTCTTCAAGTCTTCTGCCTGAGGTCCCAGACATCATGGAACATGGACAAACCACAGCCACTACTGAAGCCCTGACCCCCATCAAGCGTGAGAGAAAGTATGTGAGCATTCCTGTTTTCAGCCACTATGTTTTGGGGTAATTTGTTATACAGTGAAGTAAATGAAACACCACTCACTCCCAGATTCCTAACTTCCCTCTGTCCTGGTTGTCCCCAATCACGACACCCACTATCTTTGAACACAGTGGATTATTTACACAGTTATCATGTTTATTACTCATTATCTGTATCCCTTCTAGACTGCAAATTCCAATAGGGCAGAGAGCTCAAAAATATTTGTTGAGTGAATGAATGACTAGAGGAATTGTGGATATTTAGCCTGGAGAACAGAAAACCAGAGAAAGAGGGAGGAAAGAGTCTTTTAGAAACCTGTGTTTAAGGACATGAACAACTGACGTATGTGCAGGAGGCAGGATTTTTCAACCAAGGATGCCAGATATTTTCATAGGCTGCTTTTTGAATCTCAGAAAATCTTGGAAGGAAGATAACATTATTATAGTTTAACAGACAAAGATATGCCACTAAAAGATGTT